AGCTACAAACACATGGATTTATGGCTGAACTTCCTATGCTGTTTCATTGGTCCATGTGTTTGGTTTTGTTAGTGTCACATTATTTTGATTCGCATATCTTTACAGTGTGTTTTGAAGTCTGATATTGTGATGTCTCCAACAATTTTTTTTCTCCTCAGGATTTCTTTGGTGATACTAGAACTTTTAGGATCCAATATAAATGCTGTACTTGTCTTTGCCTAGTTTTGTGAAATATGTCAATAAGTTTGCATTGAATCTGTACATCTCTTTGAGTGGCATAGACATTTTTACAAAATTAATTCTTGTAATCTGTGGGCCTATGCCCTCTATAATTTAATTGCTTTATATTTTTATTATAGACAATTTTCAATTTGTTGGTTAAAATGATTTGTGGTATTTGTGCATGTGGGTGTTGTGAATAGGATTTAAAATTTTTTTCAACTAATTTTTATTGGTATGTAAAATTGCTTTTTTTATTTGTTGATTTTGTATCTTGCAACTGTATAGAAATCATGTACAAGTTCCAGCAGTTCTTTTCAGCAGAATCTAGGGTTTCCTGCATGTAAGATGAATGGCCACTGCTGTTTCTATTTTTGGTTATTCAGTATGTTTTTTTCTCTAGAAATTTGTGAGTTTTCTTTTTTTCTTATTGCTGGTTTTCAGCAAGCTGATGGACCTGGATGTGGACTTTTGCTTCCGTTTTCTTTAGTTTCTGTAGGCTTGTGATCTTCTGCACATCGAGTTACTACTTTTAGCCAGTAATTTTGTGTCCTTTTTCATTGTCTTTTCTAGCCTTGTACTTTGCATTTTTGCACAGCATACAGGTTTATTTTTTGTTTTTTTTCCTTCTATACATAAATAGTTGCTATTGCTGTTTTCAAATTCTTAGAACTTCTCTTCTGCTGTATCTAATTTGCTTCTAACCTCATTCCATGTATTTTTTCATCTTAGGAAATTCTAGTTTTTATATCTTCATTTCTATCATGATTCCCAATTTCCTTTATAGTTGAGTATATTCTAATACATATACCTCCTCAAAATTTCTGTTAATTCTAGTCCCTAATTTCTAGGCATTTCTTTTGGTTAATTGTTCATTTCATTGAATGTATGGTAATTTTTGATTGGACACCTGTCAGGCTTATCTTGTTGAATGCTCAATTTTTTTCTTTTTTTCTGAGTGTTGAACTTTTTCCTGGCACACAAGTTACCTGAAGATGAATTAGGGCATTTTGAGGCTTGCTTTTAAGATGTCAAGGTGAATGCCTGGCTGCCTTCCTTGTATAGCTAGTTTGTCCCTACTACTAGCACAATCCTGCTGACAATACCACCCAGTGTCCCAGTATGCCAAGCTCCCTTCACTGGGACTGGTAAGAATATTAGCCTTTCAGCTCTGTGAGGTTCACAATTGTTTGGTTTACTGGTTTCCAGTCTTTCCTGTCTCATTAATTAGTACTCAACTCATTTCCTTTATTGCATGCAAATTAACATTAACCCCTCCCTCAAATCCTCGAGTGCTTCCTGCAGATCTCTGGAGCTCGCTTTGCTGCCGCAGCATCCTATTCACCACAGTCATCCTGAGCTCTTTAAATGCGGCAGGACCAGTGAGCTTTATTTTGGCTCCTCTGCCTGACAACTGCCTCTAGGCAGTAACCTGGGACAATCATAGGTTTATTTCTTCTGTTTTTCCTTGTTTAGAATCATGGCCCTGCACTGCAGTAGTTGCTCTGTGTGTCTTGTTTGGTGTTCTAGTTAATTATGGCAGTGAAGACAATTGGGAGTTCAGCCAATACATGCTGAGGCAGGGGGAAGCAACGTGTCTGATGAGCAAAAGTCACCTTGTATTACATACGGTGGAAAAGTTTTAGGAAAAGAATAGCTAAAACATACTACTTTTTTAGTTCTGAGAAAAAAGTTAGCCAAGGTTAATAAAACATTCAAAGTTGCTTTTCTTTATGTAGAGCTGTTCTATTTGTTGCTTGACTTTATCCCAATTTAATATAAAAATGAGCTATCCTTTATCTTTCCTGAGATGCTTCAATAATAACATCCACACTCTTTAGCTTCAAAATCCAAGTATGGTATTATCTGTTGATGATGCAGATTACCAGGATATAAAATGTCAGAACTTTCATCCCACAAATTGAGGTAAAAAAAGAAAGAAAGAAAAAAGAAAAAACCCAACTGATGGGATAGGAAAAATGAAAAAAAGCAGACTGTTTAATCAGTAGAGATCCTGAGCTCAAAACAAGGCAAAATGAGCTGAAGAAGTGAGCATGGACTTCTAACATGAGATTTCAACATTGCTACAGTTTGGTCCTCACTGCGCTCTGGAGGTCCTATGGAGGGCAGGATCCCTGGATGGGCTCCAGGGGGCACCCAGCGGGAGGCCTGTGGGTCGCTGGAAGTGCACCCTTGAAGGATACAGTGGGACTTCTCCTGTCTTCTCACGATCTCTGGCAATGAAGCGAATGGTTCTGTCTTCTCCCCTCTAGCTCTGCCATAGCACACAGTTTTCCGAGGGGCCCAGAAACACGGCCCATCAGTGATGGTCTGAAAAGTTCAGAACACTGAGCACAAGTAGACCTGTCCTCTTTGTAAGAGGATTGTGTCGGCTATTTGTTATAGTAACAGAAAGCTGACCAGTAGCTGACCAATGCACATCCACTGGCTTTGCTGACAGTAACAACTTGGGGGAGATGTTCTTACATCATGTATTACAGATGTGCAAACTGCTCGTTTTCCAAAGACAGAAGCATAGTCGGTTGGAAACCACACGCACTTTCTATTACTAAGCAAGTCGCTGGGCATTGTGGCAGAGCGGCGCACTGCATGACAGCAATTAGCAGCAGGCACTGGAGAGAACAAGGCACTCCCTTCCCTGGGCTGCCTTCTGTTCTGAGTTAGGGTCTTGCCACGCAGCCTGGGTTGGCCTTCAATAGTTGATCCTTCTGCCCCAGTGTGCCAAGGGCTGGGATTACAGGTATGTGGCTCCACTTCCTGAATTTTCTCTTTAAATGTGCAACATGCTACCCACCTCCACTTTATACTCAGAAGCTTTTGAGTCTTGTTTCTTTGGAAAGCAAAAACAATCAGAAGAGAATTTCTATCTGCAACTAAGATCAACTCTGATAACCAGGCCACCTGTATCTGAATGTAAAGATTCTGCCTTCTTTGTTCTGGAATGGAATCTGTCTCCAGTGGCGGCTGGGCCTCACTGCCGTGGATCCCATGCGACTCAAAGATGCTGCTTCCCGACGTGCCTCCTTCCCTTTATTGCCAAATATCCTGCTCTACTAGATGGAAACACTCCAACCAGTGCATACAGTCAGAACCTTTGTCTTGTTACTATAAAAAAATAGTAAGACCACCAACTGCTCACTTTTATTTTGGTTCATGACTGCACAAGAGAGAATCAGTTTTGATAATGTCTCTGTGACACATTTCTAGATGATTCTATTACCAATAGCTAGTAATTTATGGAGTGCATAGTCCACGATACTGTGCTAGATATTTGCATGCATTACTTTAAACTTCACAATGATCCTTAGAGAAGTGCTATTATCTTCATTTTACAGATAAAGAAATTCAGGCAGTTTTCACATTCTTAAAGTTTTGGATCGTGTATTTTCTAATCTCAATTGTATGCACAGTCATGTAAATGAAAAGTTTACTATTTTTATATTTAAATACTTAATAAATAAAAAAGTAGCATTAAATTGTTAAAAAATCCAAGTAATGTTCATCTTAATTTGCTACATAATTCACATTATCACATACCTTTAAATAGGATAAGTTTTATCTTCCAAAGAATACTGAAGAGTTCAAATTTTAATTTGGTCCAAGAATTTTATAGGCAAGCGTCTATACTAAAGGCACATTGGTCACTTTTTTTGTTCTCTTTCCAAATCTTTAATAAAAATATTAAATGGAACATTGTCATTCATTATGTCAATAGTAAATAAAATTACGCTGAGAATCAAGACAGTCATTATGCAGAATCTATTACATGTGTATTTCTTTGAACTTTACATACAAAAAGAGAAACTTATTTCCTGTGTGCACAAGCCCACCGCACAGACATCCAGGGGACTCTGCTGAGAGCCATTTATGTTTGGCTTTTCTTTCAATGAAAAGATGAAAGTCCACGCAGCATCAGCTCGGCCTTTTCTTAAATGCTGAAAAAAAACTCGGGGCACTGATTCTCAAAAAAGCTGAATGTGTGCACCACCTTCATGCATGCAAAAAGCGCCAGAGCCTATATGGCACCCCTAAAAGACAGACTTGATTGGGATAAGCTGGCCGCTGGGCATCTAGAACTGTTTACTGTCACAAAACTTACTCCTGTGGTGAGGGACTCTGTGCCTGGATTTTGGTGAGTACCTATTACGTTAAGCACCAGATGGACACCCCCCCAATTAAAAAACAAATACCTTGGGGAGATTATTTTATTCATCACTGCCAGGCACACAGCAGGTGCGAAATTTCTGAATGAACTCGACTGCTTTATATACTTCTTTTATATCGCCATCACTCTAGCAGGTCGTGTATGTAAGATTTGAAAAGATACGTATAGTGCAAAAAAGAATAAAGCAGCTGGGATAATATTTAAGGCAAAACAAAATTCTTATATAAACATTTAAAACACACACACGCATATAAATAGATTGGAAGGTGAAGAGAATATACAAAAGCGTGCAACATTTAGCAGTGGAAAATTCAATGTGTTTCTCAATATTCTTCAGTCTTACACTTAGAAGCAAAGTAACCCTAAACAGCTAATAGCCATGAACACACAAGTAGACAAATTTTCGTTAAAAACAGAATTACAGATTATTCTTCATGATCACAGCTTAGTTTTCAATATTCAAGTGAATAAAATTTTAGTATAATCACGATATTTTTTCCTGACAGTTATGAGTTAAAATACCTGGTATCACCTCCTGTTACATCCCCTCAGCTGAGACACAGGAGCTTCGTAGCAGTCCCACATGATACCACTTGGGTGCCTCTTACGTAGCACGTTTATTTAGGGAATATTTAATAATAGACTTCGTTTCTAGAGCTGAAGTCTGAGATATGGCTTCTTGTATGAAAGTTCCATAGGTATTCAATAATTTTTAATTAAATTAGTATCTTAGACTACCGAACTTTGGTTTCCTTAAAATGAGCATTGGTTGCTTGATGGTAGGTTTGTCACCAAAAAGTGCTGCTTCACTCTCTGTGGTTGGGAATCTCTTCTGATATATCAAGGGATATTCCTTCTGAAACTTAGAAATAAAAAATAAGGTGAGGAATTAGAAGGTATTCAACAGTATCTCCCTAGCTGAAGACACGCTTCACATTTCATCAGTGATTCGCTCAGAGAAGGAGAAGTACGAGTACCTTCGTTTTATCCTCCCTGCTCCCTGCATATGAAGGGCACACTGTCAGACCTGCTAGCTCTGTTCGCACTGGGGGTCTGCTCTAGTCATCTAGGACAGCTGGTTGCCCCCTAAATGCCACATACTCGCTCTGCTTGGTAAGGCCCGTGAAGGCCACAAGGACCTGGTACAGCTCCTATTTCTTTGAGTCTCAAACAGAACTGCTCTTGTCAGCAGCATGTGGCTTCTGAGCTGTGCCTGAGAATAAAAATCTCTAGATGGTATTGACAGTCGCTTAAAGATACATCCTATGTTATAATCCGATTGTGCGACTGCTCTCCTAGGCTAATCCAAGATACCATACAAAACACTAGTAAACAAGGATAGTATCCATCATTATTTTAAAATACAAGACAGAGAGTAACTTTTGATAGGCATTCATGTATTTTATAAGAAGCGTCATCTACACATATGTTGCCATGTAATAACTGTGTATAGCCTACATATTTAAACTTAAAATCTAAAATATTAAAATAAGACCTTACGCTGTAATGTTATTAGGTGGGAACTATTACAGCATATCAGCAGCTCACTGCATGACTGCGAGGCTGCTCACGCCCTTACCTGCCTTAGCTTTCTTCTCTTCTCCTTTCGAGGTAAGCTCTTGTTCTTGATGATGTTCTCTAGAAGTTCTGCAATGGCGGCGTGAGAGGTAGAAACCTTCTGTTCATCGAACTCCTGCGCACTGATCTGCTGACAGTAAGAGAATGCTGGCACAGGAGCAGCGAGCGCATCCCCAGGATGCTCCACCTGCAGTGGACAAGGACAGCAAGAACCAGGTAATTCGCTCTCGCTCTTACTCGGGTTCGCGTTCTCCTAGCGAGCTGTGGCACCTGCTTATATTGTCAGTGCACTGAGAAAGCTAAGTATCACGCAGGAAGTTGGCCCCAAGCCAGGGGGATCTAAGTCCCAGCTCTGTGGCTCCTGTAGTCTTCAGTAAGTTATTTAACTCTCTTGGTCTGTGTCCTGTCTTGGAGTGGAAGTGATACGAGAAGATGGACGTGTGGGGCTGAGCACAAAGAAGCACTCAGCAGAGGCAGCCACGGTCCTCTCTCTCAGCCATGGATTTTATTCTTTTAATGATAAGCCAGTAACAATTTAAGTGGCGTTTTCATTCATCATAAAACATCAAGTCTTCTAACCTAGTAAGAAAGCATTCTAGCCATGGAGGAAGGGGGAGCTGCAGGGCTTGTAACCCTGCTAAAGCAGCACAGCATTGGGGTGGTGTTGATGGGGGAAGCAGACACATGTGCTGGCCAAGACGAAGCGGGCCACTGTCTGCGGTCTCTGGCTGTGCGGGATCCCTTCCTCCTCTTGTCACCGTTCCTTTCTATTCTTGCCTCTACCTGCACCTCCCTGGAGGAACCCTTCTGCCCTTGCCTCCTGAACCGATGGGAACACATGTCCTGCTCACCTTCAGCCACGGCAGGACACATGCTGAACCTAGCCTGGGCCAACCAAGTTATGCCCACACCTTCCAAATCACAGGTAGAGACAGCTCGTCCTCCTTTGGATTTCAAACCCAGGGCCTTGACACATGAATTTAGCCATATTCATTACGTGAAGGAACCACTTGTTAAAGACAGGACTGAAATGTAAGGAAATGAGACATGGAAAGATGGGAACAGGGTCCTGGGCCATCGGAGCCTCAGGCTCTGTCTCTGTTCCTGACTTAGGAAAGGGGAGAGCACAGTCCAAGAAGAGAGGTCTTAACCCAGTCCTAGCCCAGGTCCGGCTCAGCTCAGGCCTGGCATACAGGCCCGGGGGATAACCCTGCAGCTGCAATCCCTACAGAGAGGGTAGAGGATAGAACCACTCAGCTAGTCCAGGAGCAGAACATCTTGCCAAAGGGCACAACAGATTCACCCTCAAGGGCAGCAGCAAGAAGGAGCTGAGCACAGCAGCCAGACCCAAGCCAGGCACAGCTGGATAAATCCAGACTTTGTAGATCTGCATCTGAACTTCAGTACGTACTAAGGTTATAACTACAACGAAGATCTACAACAAAGGTCAGAAGACAGTGCTACACAAAATGACGAGAAGGAACAAAATGCAACTTCAGAACCCAATACCACCTGTAAAAAGTGCAGAGGACACTAACACAGAACAAATTGGGAATCACACAGCTGAAAGTAATGAATCAATGGCTTCTGAAATAAAGAAACAGCTGCAGAAAGGTATAGAGAAACTCAGATTGGAAAAAAAAAAAGAAATCCTTGAATTAATAACATCTGCAGTAAATAATCAAATGCAGAAACATACAGAGGAAACACAGTACCCACCCAGAACAAGTGCGGAGGACACTAGCTTGGCTCAAATGCATGAATTAATAGCGTCGATAGTAAACAAGCAACAGCAGAAAGATATAGAGGAAATCAGAGAACAACTCTTTTCTGAAATAAAAAAGAATTCTCAGAACTCATAGCATCTGAAGTAAAGAAGCAACTACAAAAACATAGGCAGGAAACCCAATCTGAAAAATACACTGCAGTAAAAGAATTTATAACTGTTTCTAAAGAAGACATTGATAAAAAAAATAGAGATTAGAAAAATGACGGATTCCTTGAGTGAGCAATTCAGGAAAGAAATAGATCGCATGAAGCAGAGTCAAAGAGATATAGAGGAAATGAAAACCTCAATCACAAGCTTGCAAAACCGTTTAAGCGAAAATGAAGACAGAGTTTCAGATCTTGAAGATGCTGGTGCAGCTAGTGAAAAGGTAAGAAAGGATCTCTTAAAAACAAGGATGCAGGAAAGAATAATCCATCACCTGCAAGATGATGCAAAGATGAACAACGTGAGACTAATAGGCATCAATGAGAAAGAAGGAGTCAATACAAATGACACTGACTTAGTAGATTGCTGCCATGAGCTAATGAAGCCTCGGAAAGCTGGTCTGAGACGAATGTGCACTGCAAATGGAAGCAGTGTGAGGCTCAAATACCTACATGGCCCTTTTTTAAGTAGTCGAGTTGTTTGTCCACAGCAGCCTGCAAGTAAGTGGGCACTTGCAGAATCTCCTGCTGATGATCCATGAGGAAGGAAACTAATCTTGCAGCCAGCAGCTCATCCAGGTCGACTTCTTCAGCACAGCAGAGCACACACCGAGAGAACGTGTGGATCATCTGGGAAAGCATGGGGAGACCTGGATTTAAATATGCAAAGTTTCATGCAAATCAGCAAAGCCATAATCTCCACAGCCTTATGTGAAGTACTGAGATACAGCGATAAGCAGATTTCAGTTTATAACTCAAGATGAGGATTTATTGGTTAGATTAAGACTTCTATTATGGGGGCCAGGAAGATGGCTCAGTGGAATAAGCACCTCCCCAGCAAGCATAAGGGCCTGAGTTCAATTTCTGGTTCCACCAAAAACAAACAAACAAAAAAAAGAATTCTATTACGTTAAAGATTTTTTTCAAGTACTTTTCAGTATTTCTTTACAGAATTTGAAAGGATGCTATAAGGCCTAGCATTTTAGTTTTGTCAGTTTTATCAGTAAACACCACAGTAATATTAATACCATATGGATTCAGACAGAACAAGAACTTTTGCATAAACAAATTCCACTAACAAGCAACAAACATGACATAGAGAACACACTCACTGGAGGTTGTAAAGTTGGCACAATTCATCATCTGAAACTACGTAAGACAGTTTTAAATGCTTATTCTATCAGTCCTTAAACAGTACTTTATACCCACATTTTTCACTTGCATCATAAGGATCTTAAAACTTGGGATAAGCTGTTTCAGAACTCCTTACTCCCACGTATATCCACACAAGCAGCTGACCACACAACCTCTGCTCCATCTAAAGGAACCAGAACATCAGAATTCTATGGTTCTTCATAGTAGATGATGAGCAGATAGAGTGAATTCTGAACACTGTTAACTTATTCCTGTACGTAAGGGGGACTTTCCTGTCTAGTTCCCAGGCTCAGTCTCGGCTTCTCGCTCCTTTTGTGTATCAGCTCGTAGAACTCCTTCGCTCTCAACCTGCAGTAGCGTCTCTAGATGCATGACTCAGGAACCCGCCCAGGCCTCAACCTCTCATCCACCAGGCTCCCATCTCTGATCTTCTGCGGGGCTGCACATCACTTGCATGGCCTACGCCTTCAAGACCAAAATGCCTAAATCCAAAGCTCTCACCTTGCAATTTGGCCTCTCAAGCCCTCTTCCTTCACACACGAGCTTTTCAGCAGTGCTCTAACTCCCCGAGAACAACTTTCCCTCTTTCATCAGGACTGTCCCTGTTAGAGAGCTGTCTTGCCTGTAGCAGTGAGTATAAAAGCACGACACGGCTCCAGATTCCTCGCTACTTTCTAAATGGAAGCCACGGTCTCAGGTCTCAGGAAACGGTGCTGTCAAGGGGTGGGGAGGCTACTTTATTTCCTGTAGTGTCTATACAGAAGAGCTGGCTCCTAGCCAGAGACTGCTTGGCAACACCACGTCTACGTCTGCAGCCCTCCTCCACTGAGACCCACTACCATATTAGCTCATCAAATACAACTTCCCCGCCGCTGCACCCCTGGGAACAAGTAACGTACCACACGAGGATTTCCCACGAGTTTTCTACTTCTAAAGAGTGAAAGCAGCATTAACTTCATAAGGTACTCACAGCTCCTCTCACCTTCCCACCAGACAGACTGGCAGGAGACAAGCTAACATGGTCTGTCTGCATCTGTCACTATGAAGTGCTATCAGATGAATGAAGGAAGTTCTCTGTCAAGATCAACAGCAGAGTGTGAAAGTATAACAGACTGGCTAACACTGGCTGTGAGGGGAGGCCAAACTTTTAAGCTTTCCTGACCCAAGAATCTAGAACTTCACAATCGAGGCATTACTTGAGTAGTATTGTGAAGCAGTTTGGATTAAGTTTTGCAGAGGGTGTGTGCGCCGGAGCTCATTTCTCTCCATAAGAGATCAACTCACCAGTGCCCTTGTACCCATCGCATCATGAAGTCTGGGCATATCGGGGTTTTCACTCATTCGAGAAATCATGCGCATTAAAAGTTGAAGCTTCCTACGGTTCGGTGGGGGGAGTAACAAACAACACAACTGCAGCGCACCGACGGCAACTCTCTCCAAATGAGGCTGCAGCAGACCTAGAAGGCAAAGCCACCCCCAGAAGGAAACCATCAATGATAACAGTTGCTTTCACATGACCAGCACATACAATCACATAAGAGTGTAAAATAATACTTTGTATTTCATTTCCTTTGACTATTTCTAGAAATTTCCACCTTTCTCAAACCATATTTAGCTTTTCATCATTTTCTTTACAACCCATGTCTAAGTACTAAAAGCCTTTACTTACTACAAATAAAATGATTTACAATAAGCAAAATGGGAGGAGTTCAAGTGCTTCAAGGAGACAGAATAAATCTTCACTACGCCATTACAAGTGTTTTACAGTAATTTCTTTTTGAGAAATAAGTAAAGCAGTTTCAGAGAAGAAAAGCCAGGTAAGCACAATGCAGCGTTAGTAAACACTAGCAGTTAGTGTCGCATGCACCTAAAGCAACCTTACTTTGTGTGCCAGGGAACACAGCAGAAGGTGGAGGTAAAGAGTCCCCTGAAAGCTCTACAGTGCTCTGGCACAGTCTTCTATGGACTGGGACACCAGGCTCCCCGCGTTCGCCCGCCATCGTGCTCTGCACACTGGTGCGGCCTTGTCCAGAGCCTGGCTTCACAGCGACTTCAGCCACTCGTGTGGCCACACAGCTGTTCTGCCTGGAGCTGCTCCTTAAAAGCAGACTCTGGGATCTGCACAGCTGCTTGGGCTTGCAATCCCCACGACAAGATGCCTCTTGGTCTTCCACAGCAGAAGCACAAGTTCTCTTGGAGCCACCACTGCAGAGCGGCTTGGGAGCCCGCCTCTCTGCATGGAGATTCAACAGGGACCTGTGTTTGGGCTTCAACTCTAAACATTGTTCACTATCTTGTTGTTCTGCATTCAGAACAGAATCACGGAAGGCACTGGGCACCTTCTTAAGGGAGTAACCTGGCGCATCTACAATTCCCTCCAAAGAAGAACACCTCGGTCTGACGTCAGAAGACAGAACGTGCAAACCACTCAAGCCTATCAAACTGTGGCAGCTTCCTCCCATGGCATCATTAGCTCTGATTCTTCTGCTTCTCAAATTAACTAGCTGCATTTTCTTAGCACATCCTTCTTGGAATCCTTGTCCACTTATCTGCGGTATCTCAGCAGAATCTGAATCTTCTTTGTTTTTATCTCTGTGAAGCAGACTGAGAAGAAGACATTCAGTTGATTTGAAGGAATTCAAACTGGTTAGGTGAAGGAGCTTTGAAGGCTGTGGATCATCTCCGATTTCACGTTTCCCACTGGCTCTACCTGAAACTGTGACGCAGCCACACACGACTACCAGGAAATGAGACAAAAATTAAGATGCAACTGTGTGACAGTGGACAGAAATAAAAAAACAATAAAGTCAAAAAAATAAAGCATCACTATAGTATATATTGTTAGTATAGTATAAATAGCAGCTGCTTAATTTGGAAGCCACTTAAATAGCACACATGCATAACAATTGGTTATAAACGTGCAAGACTGACTGGTGGTTTTCCCATTTGTGATATAAGTAACTTAAAAAATTCAGCCCAATTAGATGGATTGAGTGAGAATATAGTTAAAATATCTGCTCTCATTCTACAAGTACTGGAAATGCCTCAAGTATAAGATAACCGTGATGTAACAGAACAGGTCCAGTCATCCCTGGTACTGTGGAAGTTGCTTCTAGGACCACCTTCCGAGAACTGGTATGAAAATCCAAACATCCGAGTCTTGTATAGAACATGGTAAAATATTTGCATATATTCCAAGCCTATCCCTTCTTACTTTAAATCATTTCTAGATTCTTTATAATACTGTATCACTTAAAAGAATAATAACTAGGGAAAAGTCTATACATACTCATCTTCAGTCCTGTAGTAATTTTTTTTTTGTTTGTTTTTAAAAAATGTTTCTGACCCTTGGTGGGATTCATGTATATAAAAATCACAGACAGGGAGAGCCTTGTGTGCCTGTATTTGATGTGCACCTCGAGGGAGTTCTTGGCATGGAGTTGCTAGAATCTTGAGCTTTCTACTGGAAACTCCTCTTGTCACCTGAACACCCCTGAACAGAGCTAAAGTAACCTGTGGCTGTCATTGCTTAGACTGGGACTCTGTCAGCCCTGCCCACAAGGCCCTGGGAAGGGCAGGGGACTAGAAACTGCATTCAGGCACCAACGGGCTAGGGAGCAGCGAGGCCCTGGAAGTTGCTGGGCTGATGGACACATGTGGGGCTGATGGATACATGCGTACTGGTGCAGACTCCGAGGCTCTGTGCCTCACCTCCAAACGCACAGCTGTTGGCGATACCTGATCACTGTACATAAAATGAGCTCCCAAATTGGCAGCTGGCTGACAGAGTGCAGCAACCTGGGGACCTCACTTGCAACTGGCACCTGGAGGAAAGACAGTCCGGCGGAACTGAACCCTTGACCTATGGGGCTTGACCCTGGGGAGTTGGCATGACAGCTATGGAAGTGTAGAGATGGCAGGACTAATGGTGTTGCGGAGATACAGCTGAACCATTTGAAAATGACACAGAACAGCAATCACAATGACACTGAATTCTCACATAACAAATAGCCAGCCATTTTCATATTTACCTATATTTTTAAATCTTTTCAATTTAGAAAAATTGAAAACTTTAATAAATTAATTTGGACAAGTAAAATGTGTACGTACCCAAAATGTTCACGAATAGCTCATAATATTCATAAGTAAGTAGAGGCTCAGGGAGACCGAGAAAATAGTCAGCAATTGTTCTGAATACATCGCGCTCAAACCCAGCATAAGTCGGATTACTCAAATCATTACTTCTAGGCCCTAAGAAGTAGAAGGCAAATAAAATAGGCAAGATAGATTTTAACTTAAATGCAGTTTAAAAAGTCCTTACAAAAACTATTATAAAGCTTGTATCCCAGCAGGGAGCTGCTTAACAAATGGGCATGTCACTATCAGCTCACTAAAAGTCCAATGAGCCACGCAAAGGTCAGTGCATCTTTTTACTTGTTATTTTAATACCTAAAGTACCATGCATAAAGCAAGTTTTCTAATGGATTTTAACAGTACAAGGCAAATCTATCTTAATATGATTTTATTATGATTTATTTGGTAAAGCAAAGAATATATGGATTATGCAAATAATTTAAATTATCTTTTATAAATTTATAATTTTATGAGTAAGTTTTCCCTGACCTGAAGCACACTTAATGAATTTAAATAATTAGCTTAACATGGTTATGGAAATAAGCAGGCCTTAGAAATAAGACCTGATCAAACTGTATACAGAAGAAAACTGAAGCTCACAGTGACTTGCCATTGGTAGAAAAGTCCTTGGGAGCAAAGCTAAAATGAATTTTTTAAAATGTATTTGGTACATAAAAAGGGTCTCACTATGCAGCTCAGACTCATAATGATTCTCCTGTTTCAGCCTCCCCAGCACTGGGATTACAGGCATGTGCCACACACCTGGTCTAGGTGGCAGGCTCAGCACGCCTGGGGGAAAGGGTGGGTCCCAGGAGCCTGGGGTACAGGGATCGAACCCCGCAAAGCTAAAATTAGTGCTTAGAGCAGTGGGAAGTTTTCAGGTTCAACAACATTTAAATTTGGCCCACACATTACATACTATTATCAGAATTATCCAATGTACCTATTAAATATACAGACTTCTGAATATAGATGACTCTATCAGGATGAACCTAAAAACTTAGCAATCTTCAGTATAAGAAAATTCTGGGCATATTATTTTTAATGTGCTTTTTAAAATTAATTTTACTGAGAAATAGCATTGAGACAGTTTCAAAACAGGTTAGTAGGAAAGTTACAATAATTAATACATTGCATATTGTTGTCTTCGTAGTTGTTCATAGTACAAGATACAGACATGAGATCTTGTCTAAACACTATTAGTACAAATCTTTCTTCTCATTGAACTAAGAGCAAGTAGCTGTATAGCTATCCTATTTTGTATATACATATATTATTTTTTTTTTCCTTCTTTTTTCACTACAAATCTGGGCATAGTTAAAGAAAAAAATCCTTGACCAGTTTAACTACGATCAGCACAGTCACAAGGGCTGGTGAGAGAGCTGCGTGGTGGCGCACGCCTGTAATCCCAGCACTGGGGAGACTGAAAACAAGAGGATCACTACAAGTCCGAGCTATGCAGTGAGATCCTGTACCAAATACATAAATGGGGGAAACAAGAGAAATTTGTAAAAACAATCAACACAATCAGATCTTTTTAGTCTCCCTGGTGACTGAAATGTATTCACATTTTAGAGTACTTAAACTCCTTTGTCAAGTTACAAGCTTTCTTCCTAAAGCCAAATAATCTTTTTGTCTCTAAACTTTTGTGTGGCTACAAAAGTCTAAGAACATAGACTAAGAAAGGATTAAAGAACAATAATCTCTCATTCTGTCTCTGTCTCTCTCTATCTATCTCTCTCACATACATACAATGTTTTAAGGCTAATTTGAATTTTATGTAAAGTACATATTTTTCTAAGGAGGATATAAAAACATTCTTTATACACAGAATAAAGTATGTGATAGTCATTAGAAAGTTTTCTAAGTCATGATTAACATAGTTGATGGAAACAGAACTTAAGGCTAGAGAATTCAGGCTTGAGCTCTAGTTCCTCAGCACAAACAGAAGACTAAGGTTTGGTTTTCTCTTGTGGAAAAAATACAAAAACAAGTATCACACTCTGCTTGCTGCTTCCTGCACCGCACAGTTTTCCACGGGGAGTTAAATGAGACCGTGCTTTAAGAGCGCCTCTGGCTGAAGCATGGAAGCTACACAGTTGTTATGGTTTGGGAAGAGAAGGGAAGACAAAAATTCCAAAGACAGATGTCGGCAAACCCCAGTTACTCTGCTTATCTGAATTGTCACCCATGAGCCGAAGAATGAGAAAGGCCGTTAGTGAAGGTAGGAAGAGAAACACGAAAGTCCTCAGCTTAGGATCAGGATCTTCACGTTAAACTAACTTTAGGTAACGTCATTACTAATTCTGTTAGTCATATTGACACCCAGTGGACAATAAAGGAATAAATATTCTGAACATTAATAAAACCTTATTGTTTTTGAAAATGCTGATTTTAATAGAATTAGAACACCGCATCTCCCACTAACATTAGTAAAGTGTAATCTAACTTTTGAAGATTTAGAAAGATACACATTTTCAAACTTTTAATATTTTGAAAGAAATTAGAATTCTGTCCTCAAACCAGTGAAAACTCAATTTTCACTGCTCACTATGAAAAAGCTTGGTGAAGAGCGCACCCACCAAGGCCCGACAGATCACTCCTTCTCTTCACAAACATAAAGGCTCCGTGAACACACGCTCAGGGGACAGGCAGGCTGTGCAGCACAGGAGGCTCCAGCTGCACTGCGCACTTCAGGAAGCGCGATTTCCGGCTGCCCAGCTGCCACGGGGACTCCCTGGGCCTCACGGTCTAAAATTCTAAGTTTCTAGCCTCTGGCTTTGATTTATGTGAACGAAGTCATTCAAGATAGGCTTGAATTATAAAGTCACCTTATGTATAAAAAACAAGGGCTCCATATGTAATCGATTCTGCTAGACTTTCACTTAAACATCAAGAGAAGTAATACATTTAAATTTTATCTGGGCTTTTATTTATAAATTATTTTAAAAATCTGCTTTACTTACAATTTGCTAGGCACTTCATAGCAGATAGTACCCAGTGAGGAAGATCATCTACATACAAAAAAGTCATTGTTGAGTAAATCACATAATGTCTGACATTACATATTAAAACTATATATATAAAATATATATAAAACTATATATATAAACTGTATATAAATAAATATATATATATATATATATATATATATATATATTTTAACCAGTATTAAAAGGTATTGCATGTTTAACAGAACAGGGTCAGGTTTGTATTTTTAAATACAAAAACCTTGGAAAAGATATCTTGAGTTTGACTCAAGCCACAATACGCAACGCAATTGGCGATCCCCCAGTCTAGGATTACTTACTGGGGAGGAAATGTCCGACCGTAAACCCTACCATTTTTCTTTACGCCACATTCTGTTCCCTCTCACTTTGCTTCTGTCTGTTCTTGTGCCACCTGACTATTACAGATGTAGGTTAACATCTCTGACGCCGTCAACTAAGTACCAAGGGAGGCTGGCTTAAGGTCTCCTAAGTGCTACCTGTCAAATCTTGTGTGCCATGAAATCTTGAGCAAAATGCTCAGCACACACTAAGTCCTCAGCACAAATTTAATGACCAATAATTTTCACTGCTTGAATATTTTTGAAATGTAATCTTGCCATTAAAAAAAAACCAAAACACCCACATATCTGAATCCATCCTAGTACTATATAACTTAATTACTTAAAATTATTCCTCTGTTACTATGTAAGGAATCTGTGATGACAGGACAGTACAGCCTCTGACACATTCTCAACGAAAATAATCTACTTTCTACATTGGGTCCTTTTTCACTCCACCTTAGCCACAACCTTTGTGTCTAAGCCTGAACAGATTGCAGTTTCTTCCATTAACACCAACCTGATTTGTCCTGTAGCACAACTACTCCGCGTTTACTTGTGCTGGCCATGTTGTACATCACATATTGAGGAATTACTTGGTTTGGATCTATGAGTTCTTCTAGGGAAGGCACACATAAAATGGTCTGCAGGCTGCAAAGAAGAATACCAACTTTTTCTCCACAGAATAAGAATAGAGGGCAGATATGAGGATGACTAGCAAATAAGGCCAGCAGAACATTATTTTCTTTTCCTTTTTTTAAAAAAAACATTTTTTAACTTGTTTTTTATAGGGTCTTGCTATGCAGTTCAGACTCATAGGGATTCTCCTGTCTCAGGTTCCCCCACACTGAGATTAAAGAAGAGCACCACTATGCTCGGTCTGGGGCTGGCACATCATGTGGTACTGAGGATTGAACCTGCATCCTTGCACTTGCCAGGCAGGTGCTTAGACCACTGAGCTCTCTCCCCAGCCCCAGAATATTATGTTCAATCAAACTATTAATCTCAGTAACATTCAAAGGCTCCAATACAGACTCCAAATTATAGCCATGACTTTAACTCAAAGAAAAAGCAAATTATAATGAAAATATTCTATTTTTATAGTACTAAAGCTATGGCAAGAATATTTATTAGGAAACATTATTTATGTATGAAATTCTAAGCTCTGAGAACTAATCTGTTCTTATTCATTTGCATAACTTGATGAAATATCAAATAATCTAAATGCTTCAGGAACTTGACTATTGCTTGCTTTATCTTACTAGAGCAGAATGATATATCGCCAAACTTCTTCAACATCCTCCTGGCTTATTTCTCTATAATCTCCTGAGTTTTTTTGATCTTCTCTGATTTCATCATTTACTTTCTCTGTGGTTTCCTGAAAAAAAAAAAAAATTACTTTGGTTTATCTCTTTATGCCACATGAAACAACTGCTGCACTTTACAGTATGTAACCATTATGAAAGCACATGCAGAGATTAGCTGAAGTGGTTCCTTACTGTCACCCAAAGATCTAAGTGTCAAAGGCTTGGGACGGAGCCTGCAGTGGTATTGGGAGGTGATGGAACCTTTAAAAGGTGGGGCCTCAGGGCAGGAAGTGAGGTCACGAGGACGCCGCCCCCTTCTTTCTTCTCTAGCTGCCCTGAGGTGAGTGGTTTCCTCCACCTCAAGCCACATTCTGCCTTGCACAGGACCCGAGCAATGCACGCTGCTGATAGGCTGAAAGTCCTGAACCGCGAGCCAGACAAACATTCCTCATTTGATATCGACTCTCGCCGGTACTTTGTCACGGTGATGAAAGCTAACGTGTAATAATCTTGGATCACACAAACACTATGTCAAGTATGTTTTACTGCCATTTCCATCACTGCTGCTGTGGGTTCCACATGAATTTGCAAATGCGTTAGGATGTTATGTCGGTTGGGGTATTTTGGTATGGGCTTGAATATGAAAGGATCATTTAGTTTTAATGATCCAGTTATTAACTAGATGGCCATTTTATTTAAACTAGTGATTAGTCAAAGGACATTTTACCTGAGAGGAATGTAATACATGCTTCTTGGGAGTGCGACCGGACAAGTTTCGTAACTTAAAAACATTCTCTTTATCCTTGGAAAAACTGTCAATATTGTTTTTTCTCAATTGTGGATGTCTTCGTGGAAGTGTTTTAAGTGGAGAAGTTGCAGGAAATCTGGTTTAAAGACAACATGTAATTAAATAATCTAAAATTAGGAACAATTTTTATAGCTGATTAATTTAAAATCATATAAAGAACCTGTTTTAGTTATATTACTAAGAAATAAAAATTTTCTCATTAAACCTTAAAATATATTAATAATTTCTTGCTTTCTTTAGTATATTCTACATCTTTGAATTTTATTCATGAACTCTGGATTACTATTGGATTATTTCTTTGGAGAAGTGCTTATACACAAAATGTTTCTAGAATGCTACAGTTTTTATAATTATCTAGTTTACGTGCTTTTTGCCTTTTACTTAGCTGTATTTAATTTGCAGAACTTAGTCTCTTTCTCCTTTTAATTTTAATTTTTTCTTCTTCTTCTTAAGGTCCAGTAAATAGTTCAAAGATATAAAACTACAGGAAACAGTATAAAAGAAATTTATATGTAACCACCAATATGAAACCACAGACTCTTGATCAAAACTTTTCATTCATTTTTAAGTAAATGTAATTTTTTACTCATCCTTTTCTTCGCTCATTTCCTAAGGTACATCATAAACCTATAGTTAGCATTTTCCTTTCTTGGCAAGGCTTTCATACTTTTAATAAATGCTAGCAATAATTGGTCTATCTTTTCTTTTAAACTTCATAGTATCTTTTGTTGTATGTAACTTTTTTTTTGTTTTTGGAACCAGGCATCAAACTCAGGACCTTGCACTTGCTGGGCGGGTGCCACGCCCCTGAGCTCAAGCACTTGGTGGGCAGGTGCCACGCCCCTGAGCTCAAGCACTTG